TTCACCCTTGGTTAAAATTTTGTCTGATGCTGCTGCTCAGGCCCAGGTCTTGAGAATGCCTCAGCATTTGTTCTGGGCAGCGCACACTGCGTGCTGCAGGGAGCATGGGCTGCAGAGGAGAAATGCTTTCACCACTTGCTTCACTTTGTCCTGTGAGCCTGGGTTTCTCCTGCTCAGATTTGCTGTGATGTCTAGAAGCCGCATTTAAACTTTACTACGTCTCTGCAAAGCACGGCAGTGAAACCAGCTTACCTGGAGTTGCCGTGAGCCAGGCCAGGAGCACGCCTGCTTCTCGCAGCTGGGGGAACTGAGAGTCGAGCCCTAGAGAAATAGGCAGAAACAGCCACCCCATACAGCCACAAAAGAACAGCAGCAAAGTTGTGCCTCCGAGCACTGCAGGAGACCAGCCTGGGTGGGCTTTGGGGCAGGCATCACTCAGGGCAGAGGGGGAAAGCATGACAGACCACCGCCTCCCCACGCTTTGGGGAAAACCCTTTGTCCTCCCTTCTTAGCTGGCCCTGGACAGTTTTACCCCTCTCTCTTTGCTCTTGGCCATTTACAACGTAAATTCAGGCTGAGGGCAGGGAAGCAGGTAAGTGAAGACACCTGCATCCCACACATTTGGCCACTGATGAGCAGGGAGAGGGGGGCTGGCAGCTGCCTGCCGCTCCCGGGCAGGAGATATTTGGCTTTGTGCCGGTCCAGCCCCGCACGGCGGGTGACGGCTGCTGTTTGTTGTTGTCAGCCAAATGCTGCATCTCCCCTGCTAAGAGGCTCCGTATGGGATCCCAACCGGGGGCTTGCGAATTAAGTGCCTTTTAAGCTCTGCAATAAAATACCATTTGACTTGAAGAATGTTATTATTCCTGGAAGGGGGTTTGCACTGCTTGCTTGGATTTGCTTAAGGTGACATAGTATATGTACTGTGACTAAGGAAATGCACTGCAGGAGTCTCCTGGGAGGCTCACCAAGGACCAAACAACAGACACCCCCATGCTGGGTAGTCAGGTCAACCCAGAAGGAAGCAAGGAGTCCGGCTCAGCCTGGTTGGCTGGCTACAAGGTGATTCAAGTGCCCCAGCCCACCTGGGCATGCAAACTCCACTCCCTAAGATGTCCCCATGCCTCTCCGCAGGCAAGGAGACTCACTGGCCCCCACTGAGCCCCTGTGGGGACAGGCAAACCCTGCCCCACACCGTGCACATGAGGACTCGCTGCTGACGCCAGGCACTGCAGAAGGTGCCGGCGAGCAGCGCTCTCTCCAGGCTCAGCCAGGCCAAGGAGGCAGATCTGATGGCACCAGACGGCAAGTTTGGTTTTCACCAGCTGAGCAAATATATTTCCCTCCAGCTCCTGGAAATCAGATAAGCTCCTACTGAAACCAGCTAGTAGCTTCTTCTGCAGAGCCAAAGTGGTGACCGAGTGGGTATAAGTGCAGAGACCACATCCTGGACCAGGCAACAGGGGACCCTGTACCCCTAGGAGGACTCGCCGTACCTTTTGCGAGGCGTGGGCACTTTGCTGTGCTGCAGGGAAGCACCGTCACAGGTGCCTCTCCTGAGCCTGCAGCCGCTCACCAGCATGCGGCTGCCTGTGGAAGAACTGCAGCGTTGGCAAGAAAGCATTTTTCTGCCATTCCCATCTGCAACTGAAGCAGTGTCAGACAAGGCTTAAGGCTGCAAAAACCAGTAGGAGAAACCAAAATAAATTAGGAGCTTTATTTCCCACAGGAAATTTACCTAGATCCCATTTATAGTCCATTTGCCCTCATCCTTATGTAACTCCTCCGCAGGAGAGGAGCAGAAAACCCAGAGAAAATAAACAATTTGCTGCAAAGAATTAGTGCAAGAGACTGAGTCACATCTAGCGATGCAAGCAGATAATCTGGGGCTCACTGAATACGCTGTGCAGAACAATGAACACCGAGATCAACAGCATGTGTCATGCATGTACAAACTGGCCCCAGGTAATATGACTAAAGTGGAGCCACTGGTGTGCCTGAAAGAGATGCACAAAAACCACACTTCAGAGTTTATTTTATTGCTCTTAATGGCCTGCCTTCCGCACGTCTCGTTTCCTTTTATTGAAGCTGTCAGAGAGGCATTACATTATCTCACATGCGTGCAAAAACAGCGTTTCAGTTGAACTCGTACAGAGTTTTAAATGCCACAGCTGAAGAAAACAAGACAGTGGGAACTGCAAAGGGAGGAGGCGGCAGCAGAGTCCAGAGCACACACCTACGGGCAAAGGCTTCACAAACCAGCCAAGCTGCAGCCTCTGGCCAGAGACAGGCGAGCGAGGAAAGTAAAGGTACTTTTCTAATAAGCTGGATGATTCACTGAAGAAGGGCAAGGAGTCCTGTTGCAACAGAAGGCTGATGCATAATTAATGGCTTGTCCTAGGCACAAGGCTGAGTCTTTTACCCCCGTGCAGAGCCGCCTGCCAAACAAGCTCTACCAACGAGCCCATGGGGCAGCAGCACTTGCAAAGCTATTCTGAAGGTTTGAAAAAAAGAACATCACACCCGTATTTGCACAGGGGTTTCCCTCTGCTGCCCAGTTCTCCATACTCACCGCAGCACGGTTTTCATCCTCATTAGCACCCTGTGACAGAGGGAAATACAACCCAACTTCAAAGATAAAGAAACGGATCTAACCAAGTAGCCTGTGGGGGGGTGCATTACTTTCTCTTTTCTTGTTAGCATGGCCCTGGCAGCAATCACGGCAGGGTACCAGGAGGACTGCCTCTGCTGCAGAGACTGTGCAGAAAGTACCACCCCCAGGGTACCTGCACACGGCGCTCAAGGCACCAAACTCTCTAGCCAGCTTTCTCATCTGATTTCCAAGATGTGGAAAACAGTGGTGGCAAAATCAACTACTAATGGTCAGAGACAGAATATTTTTCTCACCCACAGAGGACAGCTGACCTGCCTTCACACAGACGGCATTTGGACAACAGGAAATCACTGTATTCTGGGGTTAAAAACAATCTCCTCTACATTTTTTTTCCCCAACCAGATTTCTTTTTAGTGAGTTACTCACATCCGCATGCGTGTCATTCACAGCAGGTATAAATCGCTACTGGCCAGGATGCTATCAGAGGAGAGGCTAATAGCTATGTATTATGTACATACACTGTGGTGGAGTCTGACCTTTATTTAAACGCTGCACATCTCACATCTGTCCCGTGAAGCCGAGGGTACTTGGCTGCTCTGTACGTATCCTAATTGTGGTACAAAAGCAGTTAGCAATATACTATTTAAATAAGGAAGTAGTCATTGTAGTTGAGTTTCACAAATGTGTAGCGCTACTTTTCAAAGTAATTTTAACAATAATAAACACGGCTCAACACCTCTATGCTATGCACACGCACAGTGCTGACCTGGTACCCAAACAGACCAGCGCAAAGCCTTTCCCGGTGTACCTGCACACCGGTCCTGATGCACTGGTGGTCACAAACCCGCCCAGGTCTGCTCATAGACAACATCTTGCTACACATGCACGCATGCACGCACACACAGAGAAAACCATCTGGCATACACGCTAAATGACACACCTCATTGCCTACTGATGGCTACAGGCCACACAGCAGTTTATTTAAAGTGTTACAACAAAACATTCCCTAAATAACACCTAAGAACGTGTCTATACTCCCTGAGAAGCAAAGAGCCTGTCTCAAACAAGACCCCATTGCCAGGGCCATTCCACCACTTGGGCAATCAGGGATGCTTCCCCCTTCTAACACAAAGATAAAAAGAAATCCTCTTTGCAAGGCAGCACGCAGGCTGCTCACTGGCAGAACAGCTCCTCCCCACGATGGGACCACAGAGGTAAGGGAGGTGAAACTGCTCTGATAACTAAACATGGAAGCAGACCCCTACAGACTCCCAAACAGTGGCAAGATGACTTCGCCGACCAGCCTGGGAGGTGCTGAGCTCACCAGCATTGCAGCATGCAGCTCAGGGCCTACAGGGTATTAATTAAAGCATATGCCTGATGAGCAATGCCAGGCTGGTGAGAACCGTCTATTGACAAAGCTTGCTCAGAGTGTTGCACAGTAACCACTATAAATTATATTCTCCAGGGGTGGCGGGCGGTGGAAGAAGGAAGAAGTTCACAGTGAAAGATTTCCTTTCCCTTGAAAGGAAGAGGTTGGAGTGACGCAGACAGCACTGCTGTTTGTGGTCCTATTTCTGACAACCACAGGCCTTTGGAAACCCCCAGAGCAGCCCCTCACATTCTGTGAACAACCTTCCTCCACCACCAGCAGAAAGAAGAATGCTTCACTAACCTTGAATCTAGGGGTGACAGAAGAAGGGGGACATGCAGACAGAACACACAGCCTTGCTGCCACTTCTCCTGCATGGGACAGACTCTTCCCTGCCTGCATGACCCACCGCTGCAGCCCAGACATGCAGGCGTTGCTGCGTATTTTACTCTCATATGCTGCTGGAAGAAAGGCAAGACTCTAGCTTTAATTTGACTATACTAAGTGAGGAAACTGCTCAAGGGGGCACCAGTATTGCTTGCTTTGCTCATATTTGCAATAATTCTCAACAGTTTCTTGGCCACCTGGATGGCTTACTGAAACTCCTCAGCCCCTATCTCCTTGCATGCACGTCCTGGGAGGAAAGGATTTTGGAAACTGCCAAATGCGAGATGCAAACAGCCTGGGACTGAGAGTTCAGCAGCTCTTCAAATACTCCTCTTGCAGCTCCTGCAGTTTCCTACTCCTGCTGGGAAAAAAATCCACTACAGAACACATTGATTCAGCCAGACTCACACTGACATGGCTGGCACAGCCACCAGTGTAGCCACTGCTTGTGAAATACAGTGAGGGGGGTTGTGCAAGGAGACAAGGAAGCGAAGGTGTCCCATGCTACCGCTTGCAGCAATGCCTCTTTGCCTAGTGGTGACAAGGCTTCAAGATCAACACTCCAAGCAAATATTATCTCATTTACAATTTTCTTTCAGTCTTTTCACTGGGAAGGGTCTCCCCTGTTCACCAGCAGGCATATGGGAACAGAGGGTACTGGCTCCACTCTGCCATGGTCCCGTGGGCATGTCCTGGAGCCCCCTGTGTATTGTACTCTGTGGAGAAGGCCGAGTAGCTCATTGCCCTGTACTGGCTGTGGGAAGGCACCATCCACTGGCCAAGGCCTTGCTCGGTGCTATATGGACTGTACATGGGCGCTCGGGCCCCGGGTTTCCCAACAGAGTCTAGAGCCATGTTCACCACTCCTGTGTAGTCCTGGGGAGGAGGCAGAGGCGGGGGGAGCGGAGGCAGGTTGGTGAAACCCTCTGGGAGCTGTTTGGCGTCATGCTCAGGCACCGTGGCGAGGTCCAAGGGGTGGCACCTTGCCCGGAAATCATTCGAGGTTGCAGCATCACGCGTGGGAAGCTGCTGGCTGTCCCCAGCTTCGTGGAACCTGAGCCCCGAGGGCAGAGAGAAGAATGAGTCAAACCTACCACAGCGGAAAACCACTGAAAACCCACACAGACCCCCTGGGGGAAGACAGGGCAAGCTCTTAGCATGCCCTCTTCCCCTTGCCTACTGCTTCATCTTACTGTTAGTGTGGATTTTAGTCCAAGCTTCGCTGTCACTCATACAGAAAAACTAAATGCCTGAGAATGTAAACCCAGATTACTCTAGTTCTGGCTCAGTTCTAGTCTGGGCTCACTATAACTGATTCCTGAAATTGCAATGATAAGAATAAAGGCGGGGTGGGGTGTTGGAATCACTGGAGTTCTGCCACTCCTCCAACATGCTTCCTTCAAAGGACAGGCAAGCTCTGGGGTACACAGAGCTCGCTGGAAGAGCATTTCAAGACAGGGAAATAAACAGCACTACTAAGACATGAGTATGCTCAGAATCAGTGGGTTTGAAATAACACAGAAAGGCTTTGTTGTGGAGATATCTCCATGGTAATCTAGCACCTATCACCCAGGTGTGCTGTCCAAGAGAAAGGCATCCTTCCTCACTCCCACTGGCTGTTTTTCTTAGGAAATACCCAGGAGAAGAGGAGGAAACCCATCAGTTAAAGGGTGGCTTTAGACACGAGCACCGGGAGGTGGGACTCACCGATATGTCTGGTAGGACGGTGTAGGCACTTGCTGCTCTCTGGCCAGACCCTCCCTCTGGTCAGCTGGCACCGGCGATGCTGCAGGAAAGGCATGGCTGCCATTCTGCTCCGAGACCCAAAAGGGGTATCCACTGCTGACCACGATGGGGTTACTCTCTTCCTTCACATCTGCATTCTCATCTTTCTCAAAATCTGACTCACAGCGGGGAAAAGAGAGAATGGGAAAAAATGAGAAGTGGGAAGAGAGAGACAGAGCTCACAATGGTCTATTGACAGCTGGATCAATTGCAGGATGGTGGAAGGAAACACACTGATACCTCTTCTGTAGTCATACTGCCTTAAGGGACTAGCCCGTTGCAGCTTTTTTCTGCCCTTACACTGTGGTGTTCAGTCCTGCCCTGTCCTCTCTCCTTAGCTGTGCTACTGCAAGCAGCACTGTGAACTGGAGCAAGAAATGATCAAGTTTAAAAACAACCTAACAGAAAGAGTAAAGTTGTTTGGTTTTTTTTTTAATGGTATCAGTTGCCCCATCTCTACCACAACCCAGCTGCACAAACAGCATTGCTGGCACAACTGCACTGACGAGAACCAATAAGAAAGCAACGGGTGATAGTGCAAACTCGTATCACTATTGAAAAGAAAAGATTATGAAAGCATAGCCTACGATCACACGCGGTCACAAAGCACAGCTAGGCTGGGAGGCTGGCGAGAGAGCTGATGAGTAGTCAGTAACAAGTGACTTGTGAGCAGGCTCCTGTGTATCTCTGGTGTCCTGGTTTTGGCTGGGTTAATTTTCTTCCTAGTAGCAGGCACAGTGCTGTGTTTTGGATTTAGTAGGAGAAGAATGTTGATAACACACTGATGTTTTAGTTGTTGCTAAGTACTGCTTATGCTAGTCAAGGACTTTTCAGCTTCCCATGCTCTGCCAGGTGCACAAGAAGCTGGGAGGGGGCACAGCCAGAATAGTTGATCCGCACTGACCAAAGGGCTATTCCATACCATATGACGTCATGCTCAGTATATAAACTGGGGGGAGTTGGCCGGGGGGCAGCGATCGCTGCTTGGGAATTAGAATCATAGAATCGTCTAGGTTGGAAAAGACCTTTAAGATCATCCAGTCCAACCCAATTGGCTGGGTATCGGTCAGCGGGTGGTGAGCAATTGCATTGT